CCAGCTTTCCCTGTGGGCTTTGGACTAGGTCAGTCTTGTAGCACGTGTCATTTCACTGGCCCTCTGAGTTAGCCAGTAGTTCATTATGTAGCAGGAAATACCTGAAACAGCTTGTTCTGCAAACTCCCGCACCTTTTATCACCATTTGTTTCCACATCCAAACTTAACACGTCTAAATGTGGCTTCAGACGTGTTCTTCCCAGCACGCCTGCCCCATGTTCTCCACTTGAGTGACTAGTCATTGCAGGGCTTTTTCTTACATTTCCTCTTTTAATCTGATTGTGTCTAGCCTCCAGGTATATTCAGAATCTAATGAATTCTTACTCTTTCAATGCTACCATCTTAGTCTACTGCAGTAGCCTTATGCCTGTCATTTCCTTGTTCCATGTCCCCCCATTATTCCGTCCTACCTCCAAGTGGAAAATGAAAAGCAGTCTGTGAGCCATTAAAAGTAAGTAGAGCACAGCCAGGCATGGTGGCCATGCCTTTAATCCCAGCACACGGGAGGCAGAGGCAGGTGGATCTCTGGACAGCCAGAGTAATGCAATGAGACCCTGTCTCAAATAAATAAACAAAAAATGCAGGGCATGATGGCACAAGCCTTTAATCCCAGGACTTCAGAGGCTGAGGCAGACGGATCTTTGAGTTTGCGGCCAGCCTGGCCTACAGAACGAGTTGCAGGACAGAGCTACATAATAGACCCTGTCTCAAAAATCCAAAAATAAAAAATAAAAGTAAAGTACTTTAAAAATGTTTGATGCAACTATAAAGTATTCCCTTGGTAGAATGGTCGTTGAAGACAGTAACAAGGCACGGCTGGAAAGGATGTGGGATTCTGCGGGAGAAGCAAGTCCTACAGCCACTAGGCCTTCCTGTCTGCTGTGTTACCTCTGTTTTAGCACTATGCACCTCAGCCAACCCCAAGGAACTAAGAAGATAGGCCTGAGGAATTTCCTGGGCTTCACACGTGTAGGTGTGTGTGCTAAGGTTGTGGGAGTGTTTAAGACTGTCCTAACAAAGTATGTAAGACTGACTCGAAATGAATTTCAGAAGAGATGCCTGACAGAATCCAGAGCTGCAGCAGCAAGACCAGGAGAGCATTGCTCAGTCACATGACCACGGCAACTCTTAGAGAGGAAAGCATTTTTTAAAAAGATTTATTTTTATATGAATATTTTGCCTGCATGCATGTATATGTGCACCACATGCTATCTGGTGCCTTGGGTCCCCTGGAACTGGAGTTAACAATTGAGAACTGCCATGTGAGTGCTGGGAATTGAATCTGAATCCTCTAGAGGAGCAGCCAATGCTCCTCACCACAGGGCCATCTCTCCAGTCCCAAGGAAAAGTAGTTAATTGGGGCTGGCTTACAGGTTCAGTTTGGTCCATTAACATGGTGGGAAGTATGGCAACGCACAGGCAGACGTGGCACTGGACTGGAGGGTAGCTGAGAGCCCTACATCTGATCTGCAGGCAGCAGGAAGAGACAGTGACATGGGGCCCAGTTTGGGCATCTGAAACTCAAAGCCCTCCCGCAGGGACACACCTAATGACCAAGTATTCAATCTATGAGCTTATAGGGGCCATTTTCATTCAAACCACCACAAGCATTTTGAGAGAAAGGAGGGGCAGCACATCAATATATTGCCCACAGTGTGCTACTGTGTCACTGGAGGGAATGCATATGGGTTATGCTTAATATAGAATACTGCATTTGTGTAGCAAAAGGACATATAGTAACCACAGCTAACATAATATTTTTATCTAGATAGTTGCTGCATACTAAGCATTGTCCCATGGATTATATATAGCTAGCTAGATAACATATATATATATAAGATATATAAGATATATATATATATATAATATATATATATATATAACATATCTTAATTCTCACAACCCTGCAAGGTAAAATGTGTGTGGTGTTACTCTCATTTTAAAGATGAAAAAATTGGAGCCCGAGAAGTGACTCTGGTTAAAAGCACTTGCTACTCTTGTAGAGGACCCAGGTTTAATACCCAGCACCCACAAAGCAGATCACAACTGTACAATTGTCTGTAACTCTAGTTCTAGGGGATTCAGTGCCTTCTGATTGCCAACAGCACTAGAACTCATGTAGTACACATACCTACACACATGCAGGCAAGTTATATGTATAAATCTTTAAATTTTTTAAATAAATTTGTTGAAGTATAGAAAGGCCTTGCTCGGGATTACAGAGCTAGAAAGAAGCAGAATTGAAATTTGAACCTGAGTAGCAAACAGAACTTAATCAGGATGCTTTCTTTCTTTTTATTTAAGATATTTACTTTTTACTTTAATATAAATTCAAGATTTATCTATTTATTTGAGGCAGGGTCTCTGTAGCTCTTGCTGACCTGGAACTTGTGGTCTTGAACTCACTGAGGTCTACCTACTTGGACTTCCCAAGTACTGAGATTAAAGGCAGGGGTACCAGGCCCGGCACTAAATTCAAGTTTTAAAACAAGGAAACAATGTAAATATAAAACATCAAATAAATAGTAGAATAAACAAACTTGTCATAACGAAAGTTGTGAAAGTCTGACACTTGGGGACTGCATGCAGGTTGGCAGTTGCACTGAGGAAAGTGATGTGGAAGTGATCTTTGTAAGGCTGCCCAAGAACTGAGGATACAGCACAAAGGGAAATGGAAATCCAAGGAACAGACAGGCACAGCACAGCACAGCACAGCATTTCTATTAACTATCAAAAGTGCATTTGTTATTGGTACATTAGATTCTCTAATGCTGCAATAGAAAATTGACTTGGTTCTTTAAATTTGGCCAAACTCTTAAAGATGATTACCACAGCTAAGCATGTTAGAAACTGCTAAATTGCTTCCTTGATTGCACGCTGAGCATTTTAGCAGCTGAGTACACTGTAAATACTCCAGCAGGAAATTTTGTTTCTCATCTTTATTTCTTTGGGATCCCATGAGAAATATAAGGATCTTGTTTATTGTTGAAATGCATCGTGTTTAATGTCTTTCTCATCTGTCCCTGGCGTCTTACTAGCAAAACTGGTAGTGAAAATGCCCCAAGGAGAGAAAGGGATCAGACAGAATGCAAAGGATAAGAAGGAGAGAAATGAGAAGTGTACTGGAGAAGGAAAAGGGAGCCCACATTCTTGTCAGGAGATGCTCTGGGCACTAGAAGAAAGTAAGGACCCTAGATGAGCATGGGTGGGCAGCAAATGCCCAGGACTGGAACTGGTCCTCATATCTGGTTTGTGCTCTCAGGGCGGGCATCTCCTTTACAGCAGCAGTTTGGCCGTGTGCATTCCTTGGCCCTCTTTCCTCATCTTGCCTATCTGCAGGGGACCCAGGCATGAATGTGATACACATTTGTGTATCATAAACATACGTGTCTTAGGGCTACTCAATAACCCACAAATCTACATTAAAGGAACACGGTTGGAGGGTACAAATAGGGTCATCCACAGGAACAGCTTTCTTCGCTGGATGTTTTTATCACAGTGTCTTTAACAACACCATCCCCATATCTGCAGGCCCCTCCTTTCAGCTGAGGATACTCACCTCTGAGGTTGTGCCATCTCTAGAACAGCCGTTTAGTCTTCTGTGTTTATTTACAACTATTCTTGTTTATTTCATCTTACAACTCCCAAGTCACACTCCATCACTGAGGGAAGCAAGGGAGGGAATACATGGCAGGAAATGAGATAGGAATCCAGAAGCTGTGGAATAGGTTTCAGGTGTCACTCTCATGGGAGACTGTGCTGGCTAGTTTTGTGTCAACTTGACACAAGCTAGAGTCATTTGGGAAAAGGGAACCTCAGCTGAGAAAATGCTCCCCCAAGATGGACCTGTGGGCAAGCCTGTGCTGCATTTTCTTGATTGATGATTGATGTTGGAGGCCCAGTTCACTGGATGGTGTTACCTCTGGGTTGCTGGTCCTGGGTACTATAAAAAGCAGCCTGAGCAAGCCATGCAAGCCAGTAAGCAGTGTTCCTTCGTAGCCCCTACTCCACGTTGCTGCCTATGATGGCTATTCTTGGTTGTCAACTTGACTACATCTGGAATGAACTACAATCCAGAAATGGAGGGCACACCTGTGAGAGATTTTTGTGCTTGGTTTGAAGCAGGTAAATCCACCTCTAGTCTGGACCTTTGAGGCAGAAAGACATAGGTCTTTAATCCAGATCTTGACACACTTTGAATCTGGATCACACCCGCTGGCATCCTATATGAGGACAATGGAAGAAGAAATGTTTTTCATTCAGTTCTTTGCCTGCTTGCTCTCACCTTGGCAGCACATCCATTCCTTCACTGGCATTGGAGACTACTTTTTGGGGATTCCAGCATACACAGAAGACCAGTGGAGACACTTAACCTTGTGGGATTAAGCAATCTAGATTTTTGAACTTTCCGTTCACAGCTAGCCATTGTTGGATTAGTCTGTAAGTCATTCCAATGAATTCCTTTTATATGTAGAGATTTAGTCCATAAGTTCTCTGAATCGTCCTTCATAATATATAACTCTCAGATGAAAATAAACTCTTTTCCCCAAAATTGCTTTTACCAGAGCAACATGACATTTACCATAGCCAAAAGAAACCTAAGATACCAAAATCTATTCTGCTGGAAACATTTTTTTTTTTTAAGTTTTATTTCTTAGTTGAGCTGTTGTAATGTGGAGAGCAATAGATTTCCCTTGGAAGTTCTGAGGATTAAATGTCTCCAAAGTAACAAAACTGGAAAAGCTGAAAACATTAATTAAACATTAACTTAAGACATGAACACAGTGGCCAGTACACGACTGTGGGACCTCTCCATGGGACTCAGTCTGCAAATTGTTGAGTATTAGAGGAGGAGGCAGCGTGACAGCTACTCCCACAACAAGAGCTCAGGAGCATCAGCGTGGGCAAGGAACCATGCCTCATGTGCCAGCATCGCAAACCACACTACAGGAATGGGGTACGAATGTGAAAACACTGCACATCATGTTGGAATAACTAGGTTACTTTAAGAAAACAGACATAAACATTTTTTATTTTATTTTTTACAATCTGGGTTAAACATTAAAGCTGCATATACATGAATAAGACCAACACCTTAAAACAAACAACCCCAAACACTGCAAATTATTAACAGACTCTGTTGACCATTAACTAGAGGGTTGGATTGCATGAGTAAGAAAACCCCTTCCAATCCTGACACGGACAGAAAACGTTTGCAAAGCCTTCCAGCTCACAGGCTCCCGTGTGCACATGTGTGTTCCCAGGTGTGGCTACCAGGGAAGGCTGGAAAGGGTACAATAAAATCAGTTATTAGTAAATGAACACCGGCCATAAAGTCCTTTCTAGTGTGTTTAAAAACACCTAGGAGAATAAAAACATTGCAAATGCATTTTTGTTACAAAACAACAAAAAACTGTCATATAGGAAACACTAAAATTTTAAGTAAAGACAAATTACTTGTCTAAGTGGTAAAGTCAAACAGACTTGTCAATCACAGTTAAACAAGAGAACCCTGGGGAGTTTATACTGGGTCTCCATCCAGAATAAGCTCTGTCTGTCCTTCTGGGGATAGTTTTTGTAGTATTTCAGAATGAAAACTAAACAAGCACAAAACAATCCGTAAACTCCTGTATTGCTAATTTAAAGTAAACATCAGGGTTCACTGGCCAGACAGCTAGGAGCACACTGCTACAGGAGCTGAGCCAGGAGGCCGACAACACTCCATTCCTTTCTTCAAGTGTATCCAGGGCAAGCACGTGAAAACAACAGAACCCAGTTTTAGTGCCAGCACTGATATTGTGGGTTCTAGAAGTAATTTGTTTTTATCCTTTCTGTGCTCCCCGCCCTGCCACCAAGCTGGGTATCAGAACCAGGGCCTGGCTGGGCATGGGGGCACATGCATTCAACTCAAGCAATGAAGGAGACAGGGATGGTGAATTTTTATGAGTTTGAGGCCCGACTGGTCTACATAATGAGTTCCAGGCCACCCAAGGCTACACAGTGAGACCCTGAATCAAACATCAAACAACAACAAGCAAACAAAAAAACTACAGAATAAACAACAAAACAAAACAAAGAAACCAAACCTAGGTCAAAGTGCTCTACCACTGAGCTACACCTGCACGTTCACAATACATGAACTTTGACAGATGCCTACAATGTCACGAGTTGTTGAGAAGCGCAACACTGCCTTGGCCAGCTTCCTGCAGTTAAGATCCAACTTCTCTTATTATCGTTGTACTCCAGAATACACCATTTTTCCTGATCCAGCTTTTTTTTTTTAAAAAGGTATGTGTGCTCTGTCTGCATGTATGCCAGAAAAGGCCATCAGATCCAATTACAGATGGTTGTCAGCCACCATGTTGTTGCTGAGAATCGAACGCAGGACCTCTGGAAGAGTAGCCAGTGCGCTTAACCACTGGACCATCTCTCCAGCCCCCAAGTCTTTGTTCTCTTTTTCTTTCTTTCCTTCCTTTTCTTTCTTTTTCTTTTTGGTGGTTCGAGACAGGGTTTCTCTGTGTAATAGTTCTGACTGTCTTGGAACTCACTCTGTAGACCAGGCTGGCCTTAAACTCAGATGGCCGCCTCTGCCTCCAGAGTGCTGGGTTAAAGGTGTGCACCACTGCTCAGCAAATCCAGCTTTTTAAAGGTTTATTTTGCGGTTGTTTGTGTGCATGTGGAGGCCAGAAGAAGGCATTGGGTCCCCTGGAACTGGAGTCACAGAGCTGTAAGCTGGCAGGTGTGTTTTGGGAATTGAACTTGGGTCCTCTGCAGGAGCAGTCAGTGCTCTGATTCTGTAAGTGTCTGATTTTGTACCTGTCGTTACTAACTCTGGGACAGTGAAGCAGTGCACGGGATGCAGTGGACAGGCACAGCCCTGGCTCTGTGACTCAGTACAGAACAAGTGGCCACTTAGAAGCAATGGGCTCTACGGCAAGAATGTTTTATTGTTGGAAAAGTCTAAAGTAATTTAGATTTCATTTGTAGGAGTTGTATCTGAGTTTTTCAACTGCCATGAATTATTTCAGTAATAAAATTGAATAAAAATATTTACTTTTAAGTACATGTTATATTAACTTAGCACATTCAAGAGAGGACTCTGGGATTTTTAGGTGCAGAGCTTCTAGCTTTATTGTCTAATTAAAGCACCCACTCCTTCCTCTAGTGGATAATGACCCAATGATTATTATTTCAGGTTTTTTTTTTTTTAAAATTTATTTATTATGTTTTTTTTGTTTTGTTTTTCGAGATGGCTTTGGAGCCTGTCCTGGAACTAGCTCTGTAGACCAGGTTGGTCTTGTGTGTATGTCTGCAGGCCAGAAGAGGGCACCAGACCTCATTACAGATGGTTGTGAGCCACCATGTGGTTGCCGGGAGTTGAACTCAGGACCTTTGGAAGAGCAGGCAATGCTCTTAACCACTGAGCCATCTCTCCAGCCCCTGATTATTATTTCAGAGACACTGCAATTATAGATTCATTTAGTCTAAATGATGTGTTGTATGTTGTGGGGCAGGAATTTATCATAACTAAAATATTTTAGATATTAAAATATAAAATTCCAAAGATATAATCTTCCTCTTCAAAATTCCCTACTGTTTCCCAGCACCTGTTGCTATAGAGGAGCTGAAGCCAGCCACTCTTCTCTTCTTATAGACAGCTTGCTGCTTTCTGATCAGATGTCTGAAGATTCCGATCCAGAAGGGGTAGCTACACATTTTTTTTATTTGTGTGTGTATGTGAGTGTGCATGCATGTGTGTGAAGCTGGAACACACTGAGTCTTTTTAAGCTTTATGATCACAGACACTCATATGTTCAGGAAAGATCTTGTTTCTCAGTAGTCTTTCTATTAAAGGCAAACTCAAGCTGCTGTTTCCATATTCATTATCTTCATTAAAAACTTTTTAAACAGGAAAAGCTCTCCTGTCCCTCACATAATTGGCATTTTTAAGGTTTGATTCTTCCAATATAATTTTCAATCTAGCACTGTTCCAGTCGCCTTAAATTGACTCATTCACATGGAAAAAGTACAATGAAGATCTTTACTTAGGAACAATGTTTAAACAACAGAATGTTTTTCTTTTGACACAGAACATTAAAAAAATTTTTTTAGAAGTGAAATTACTTAAAGTGTCCACAAATTTGAGATTTCCACTATGTTCTGTTCACAGCTCCCAGACAAGTACAGTGGTGACTCAGACTAGAGTGGAGCTCACCTAGGACAAGCCAGCCAGCCTCTGGGAGGTCCTGCTATGTGCATTCATCTATGCCTAAACTGGCTCCAAGTTCACCTTTTTTAAAAAAGCAATCAGTGTCTCATAAAAGCAATAAAGTGATGAATACTTGGTAAGGGTGATCTTTAACCATTCTGTTCATTTAAATGGCAACAGCGTGGTGACTGTAGCTTAAACTAACAATAGCATTCTGTTGTCTAGAGATAACAAAATAACTTTAGAAGTTCTGAAACTTGAAAATTAAAGAAGCATCTCCTGAGAAGACATGCTAGTGTACTGGGCAGTATTAGATAGAGCAGCAGTATGTCTTGCTAATGGCCGGGAGCCAGTCCACTGAGGTCACTGAGGAGCTCACGTGGTGCTGCAGCAGAGCTGCCCAAGTCAATGGCGAAAGAATGGCCCCACATCTGTCAAGACATTAATTTCTACATAAATACCCTCTTGTTCAGAGCCTCTTCATGGATGTGTCTATGAACATGCTGAAATGCTTGATACTTTTAATAAGACTAAATTAATAATGTCATTTATGGGTCTGAGCTGACTAATCAGAACCAAATCCAAGGAAAGGGGACTGGGCCACGTGACCAAAGAGACCATTTCTTTCACAGTTTTGGTTAGATACAATATTTCTGCTTTAAAACACAGAAAACAATGGAGAAACTTTCCATAAAGCCTCTGGAGACTCTCAGTCTTCCTTTCTCTCGTATTTTACTTGTGTCTGAGGTATCAGGCTTGGTTGTGCTAGAGGTAGACTTCATAGGTTTGGCTGTGTTCACTTGGCCAGGTTTGGTTTCCTCTTCAAGTTTAAAAACGTAAGGAAGAGAATCTCCACAATGGAGGAAATGAGTGATACCAGTTACTAAAAGCTGTAACAGCAAGAACAACAACAAGAATCCATTGCTTGGCTAAGATACAGCAGTATGTTAAACTCTTCACGTCTAACTGGATCTCCCAAACCAGGATGACAAGCTGGCAAGCCATTCCCCAGAGAGAGGCCCATGGGTGCTGGGGAGGGAGCACCTACATCTCCTTTTATGAATTGTCTAAATGGGTGGTGTTTTACCGCATGCATGCCTGTGCGCTATGTTTGTACCTGGTACTCATGGGGGCTGAAGAGCGTGTCTGATCTCCAGGGACTGAAGTTTATGGAGTCCAGGTCCTCTAGAAGAGCAGCCAGTGCTTTTAATGGCTGACCCATCTCTAGCCCTTTAATTTCGTTTTTCAGGACAGAGTCTCACTCTGTAGCTCAAGATGGCTATGATAGCCTAGGCTGGCACAGAACTCATGGCAATCCTCTTGCCTCTGTCTTGTGAGTGTTGGCATTACAGGTGTGAGTCACCATGCCTACCTTAGCTTCTTTTACAGCAATACAAAAACCATGATCTCCTCCAAAGATCCCAGGGATCCTTGCAGAACTGAGATGGCAACTTTCCTTATGCACGGCCCAGAGGCACTTGTATTGGGGTATGCTAGCTAAAGAATTTATTTCATTGGTGCTGGGAACAGAACCCAAGCCCTCGCATATGCTAGGCAAGCATCCTGCCACTGAGCTACGACCCCGGCTCAAACTGAAATTCTGGGTAAACACCCCAACTCTGGTGCAGAGAGACCCAAAGGCAAGTGGGGAAAGTGCTTGTAACTTGCCCTGTCCCTTCTGGAATTCTCCTTTCTTTTGCCAAAAGCAGATTATGTATCCTGTGGAGATGGCATATAATTGACTGGAAAGAAGTTCTTCATTTGAACCTCAGCCACAAGCTCTTGGCTCCTTTGGAGCATGGTTATCTGGGAAGACAGCTATTCTGTCAGCCAGTGGGCTCACCCCACTTTACCACACATTGATTTAAAGTGTGTTTCACAAAGCCATATCTGCACAAATACACAATAAAGTTGTGCATGGCATGTGGGAGCATTTGATTTAAGTGTGTTCTTCCTCACTCCCACAACTCAAGGAGGCAAAACTCAAGAATTCCCGTGCTGTGAAGTATAACTGAAGATCTGACCCTTGAGTTTTTAGTATAACTGTTCACCTGAGAATTCGGAGAACTTACAATGCATCAAATAGGTGGAAGGCAGTGAGTTGAAGCCGAAATGCTTATTCAAATGCTCAACAGTCTCATTTGACAGGGATATTGACAACATATGGTCAGTTATTGCTACTGTTGGGAATGTTAAACTTGGAAAGATCCCAGCACACCTAATGATAACATTTTGAATCTATCTAAAATAAAAATGAAGGTGTTCGTAATTAAGATGCAGACTCTGCCACTTGGCCATACAAGTCATGTCTCCATCTTACATGCAGAACCGAAAAGATAACTGTTTGCTTCCCACAAACAAAATAACTTTTGGGTGTTTAGCAAACTAATGAAGACTGACCTAACATTTTGTGACCATCTCTGCTTCTTTATTCCTGAGACAGGGTTTCTCTTCGTAGCCCTGGCTGTCCTGGAACTCACTTTGTAGACCAGGCTGGCCTTACAGAGATCTGCCTTCCTCTGCCTCCCAAGTGCTGGGATTAAAGGCGTGTGCTACCACACCTTAGTTTGTCTATCTCTTCAAAACCCTAAAATCACGATTGGAAGCCACTACAGACTAATACACAGGGTCAAGTCAAACACTGAATATTAATCGCGTGTTATTTACACAAAGAAGGGGCCACTAAAACTCATCACTACCCAGGGAGGTAACCTAGTGAACAGAACTCTAAGCATGTACTCACTAGAAAGAGAACAACATGAGTCCTTAAGGCAGCATCGGTTGAGTCTTCTCTGGTAAAGTGTCACGTGTTTTAGTGACTAACGAGTGACTTTAAAACAACTACTTTAAATAAACATTAAAACAGTACTTTGAAAAAGAAATGACTAATGTAAGGACTTGTGCAGTATGAATCTGCATTGGGATTTTAATTTGGGATGCAAAAGCATACATGAGAAAACAATGGTACAATTATAGCAGTCTTCCCTTGAATGGAAAGTAGAGTAGCAGCTACTCCTAGTAATCAGTACTCTTTGGGTTCCTTTTTAAAAACTTGTATTCAGAGTAGCTAATAGAAAATTCTGCTGTTTAAACAGCACATGGTCAGGTTGAGTTTTATTAATGTGAAATGATTTGACAATGCATGACTAACCTACGCATGCTCTGACTCGGTCACCATGTCCTCAGTGCTGGCTGCTTACCTGTGCCAACCCACAGATCTCCAGAGTCTTTAGTAGATGCAGTGGGGAATCTGTTTTATTTGTGGCTTACTTTGTTGATTTTCCTAGGAAAGCATGAGCTAGCCTTACATGTGCAGGGACTCTTGCCAACAGAACAACCGCGTGAAGTGAAAAACAGATTAACACACAACAAAGTTCAAACAGCAAATGCTCTCACGGTGTGGAGAACTCAGACAGGTGCAGGCACTTCTGCTTCAGGTTTTCCTATTTGGGTCACAAGTGGCTTTCTAGAAACCCTCACGGTGCAGACTACTGAGTCCACTGCATGTGGTGTCTCAGAACCACCTTTTCAGAGTACTGATTTTCGTTTTACCAAATTGTCTTTATCAACAGCACAGTGGAAATGTTTCTTTTATCTCAGTGACTAGGTCTGCCGCCCTGGCAGAGCGTTCACCGAGAAAACAAAAAGAGTGTAAGTGTAGCTTTTCTCTTAATATGTCTGTCTCCCTTGCTCTGGGTCCTTATGTGAAAGAAACTCAACAAAGTGTACATATCTATACCATTCTAAAGCTACCAGGCTACTGGGATTTTTGTTTTAAAAGTAAGTACTTAAAACATTTTTTCCCCCAAGAAAACCCGTGCTAAAAAGGCACTAGATAAAATGAATTTCTTCACTCTTGTATATAATAATTATACATTGTGTTGGATTCCAGGATTTAACGAGGTGTCACACATTTAGATAAAACATCATTCAGTCATCTCCTTTTATGAAAAACTGAATTTCAAGACTGAGGAATGGCCTGCTGCAGTAATGGAGGCCAGCTGGATCATGGAGTGAAGACAGCTTCTGTCTCCTCAGGACCTGCTTGCTGATGACTCTGGCCATGACCACCTGAGGGAAGTCCTGGCCTTGGAAGGTTCACTGGCAGCAGCTGTGGGAGCTAAGTCGTCTGGAGACCTGAGTGAATGAGACGAAGGTGAAGTTTTCACAGTTGTCCAGCTTGACCTTTCTGGCTAAATTTGGGACAATTCCCCGGAGGGACCGCAGCCCCATCCTCTGCTCCTCATACCACACACTGCCCATGTCCGTGGCCTCCTTCCTGGCTGTCAGATAGAAGGGAGACTTGGCTTCCATCTGGGTAGGTGGCCGGTGGATGTACATGTACTTGTAGAGGAGGCAGTAAGGGCACTGTTTGTGTCCCCGGGAATGCTCATGGTAGATTTTCCCATGACATACTCTAGTAGAAGCACTCCGGCTCTCTCGCTTAACACTGTCTGTCCGGGCAAAGTAGGGCTGGTTTTGTGGGTCTTTGAGCAACTCGATGTCACCATACATCAGGTCTGCATGCTCCTGCAGCGTCCGCATATTCAGATACTGGCTGTTGTACTTGACCACTGTGGACAGGAGAGTAATGGGGCTGTCATCCCCTAGACACCCTGCCTGCCACATCTCCTCCTCATCAGAGAGGGAGAAGTAGACGATATTGCGAGAACGGGCACCCGACATCCCTGCCTTACTCAGAACCCACAGCTTCTCCTTGAGTTTCTTGGTGGAAGAACTGAAGGTGCTGCTGGTGATGGAAAAGCCCACACCTGCATTCTTCAGGATGCGGTCCAGGCCACGGCGAATGGCGTGAAGTGAGGTGGCCAGGAAGTCTGAGCCATCGCTCTTCTTGACGGTGACATAAAAGTTCTCAAGCAGCTCATTCAACTTCACTGCAGGGATCTCAAATGAGACAAACACTGAGGTTACACATCTGAGGACACTCGGACAGCTAAGCCCTCTTTTCCCCAGTCCTCACTAGGGGCTGTGCTAGGGAGAGAACAGTTTCCTGACCGCTAGAGGATTGAACCTTTCACACAATGTAGGAGAAAAGCAGCGGCTTTCAAACTGGATGATCTAGGTTTCATAGTTGGTTTCCTCTAATTTCTTTAAAACTCAGCATTTCATGATCTGCAAAACAGGGCATACTGGTAGCCACCTTCTCCTAGCCCATAAGGAAGGCTTACAGGAGATATGGACCATGAGTTTCCAGGAGTATGTAAGCAGCAGTGAGCACACAGCCCCTTACAGAGGTGTCTACAGATGCCTACCGATTGCTACTATGACTGGCCTTTGTAATGTTGGCTAGTCCTTTCCGGATGGTCCTTTCTTCTTTTTGTTTGCAAACCACTTCTTGTCCTTTAATGAAGCTCAGTCACCCTTTCTAAAGGACTCCATAGCTGAACCATGGAATTAGTCCAGCATTAATGTCCTCAGTACCTGCCCATACTGTTGGGTACCTATTCCTGAGTAGGGACTTCTGAGGAGGAGAACCAACACATCCAACTTATGGAAAAAGTTAATGGTCTGTGATTTTTCAATTAATAAACACTAGTGATGTGGGAGTGTCATATATCAATCTGTTGATTTCATTGGTTAAGTTATAATAAACCAACTGCTTGGCCTCAGCTTAGAACATAGATGGGAGGAGTAAACAGAATAGAATTCTGGGCGGAAGAGGAAGTGAGGTCAGACTCTGCTCTGCTCCCGGAGAGACCCGACAGCTCTGCTGGAGCAGAGACGCCATGCTCAGCTCTCCCAGGCAGATGCACGCAATGAAGCTCCTCCAATCCCGGATGGATGTAGGCTAGAATCTTCCCGGTAAGCGCACCTTGGGGTGCTTACACACATCATTGGAAATGGGCTAGTCCAGGTGCGAGAATTAGCCTGTAAGGGTTAGAGTTCATGGGCCAAGCAGTTCTTAAATGAATACAGTTTGTGTGTTGTTATTTCGGGCATGAGCTAGCCAAGCGGCCGGGGTGTTGGGGACGCAGCCCCGCCACCGCTCCTATTTCAACACACTAGATTTTCAATATCAGTTTTATAAGTTTGACTTATAAGAAATCTTTGCGGGCAAATGGATGGAGCTAGGAAACATCATATTGAGTGAAGTAATCCAGACCCAGAAAGACAATTGTGTACCACTCATAAGTGGTCTTTAGACATAAAGCAAAGAAAACCAGCCTATAAATCACAATCCCAGATAACCTAGACAATAATGAGGACCCTAAGAGAGACACACATGGATCAGTCTACATGGAAAGTAGAAAAGACAAGATCTCCTGAGTAAATTGGGAGCATGGAAAGGATTGAAGGAGAGGGGAGCAGAGAAAAATAAATAGCTCAATAAAATCAATAAAAAATAATAAAAAAGAAATCTTTGTGGTCAAGATGAAGATGTAAGGAGCAGGCAGCCCTGAGTCAGGCTACAACACACACGACTGCAGTAGAAATGCTCGAGTCAACACTCACTGTGCTAACAGCCAGGAGTCAAAGAGAAAATAAAAGAAGAGCCATATATTAAAAACGAGCCAATTAGGGGCTGGGGAGATGAAGTCTCTTGCAGAGAAGAAGAGTTCAGTTCCTGGCACAGATGTCAGTCAGGGACTCACACCTGTAACTCCAGCTCCAGGGCAGCGAATGCTGTCTGCTGGCCTTCCTAGTCACTCACATGTCCATACATACACATAAATAAAAAAGAAATTTTTAAAAAAATGATATCCCTGAAGAATCTGATTTAAAAACAAAAATTGACTAAACTATGATTTATAAAACTCTATCTCATTAAATATACTCCAATAACATAAACTAGAATGATTTGTTAGAAAATTTTATTCTTAGTAAGCAAACGTATATACCCCAAAAGCTAGAAAAGTAATTCATAAATATTAAAATGAGCCAATACAAATAAAAATGAAAATTAATGAAGGAAGAAGGGGAAAACTGGAGAAGGTAAACATCAACCTCTGAGAAAACTTATCAAGATGATAAAGTCCCGTCAGGTCTGAGAGGAAGGAAAAGGCAGAGAAGTGGACTTAGGCAAACGAGAGTGAAGACCATGGAAGAGTACCACATGCTTTATGTACATTAATAGGAAAATCTGTATATACGGGTTTTATTTTGAAGTTTTTGTTTAGTGTGCATGCAAGCCACTACAGGTCTGTGGTTTTACTCTCTCTACTGTGGTGCTGGGAATAAATCAAATGCCTCCTTCATGCTGGGCAACTGTTGGACCAATCACTTACCAATTCTTTTGGATTTACACAGTTTAACAATATGGAAGAAAGCCGTGAAGGCTCTTCATTCTTATCTGACTCACATCTATAGAGTATAACAAAACCAAGACATATAAAGTAACCTTACACAAGGCAACTTTCATGCTGCATAAGATGTATTCAGATTAGTAAGATGTCAAGAAAGCAATGGCTGGGCTGGGGAGATGGCTCAGCAGATGGAAGTGCTCCTCACACAAGCCTGACGACCTGGTTCAAGTCAGAACTCATGTATGTGGCAGTACGGATCTGTAAAGCTAGCACCCTTAGAGTGAGATGCAGGCAGAGGCAGAAGAACTGACTGGGGTACTTAGCCAACAGAGCAACAAAGAGACCCTGCCTCAAAAAAAAAAAAAAAAAAAAAAAAAAAAAAAAAAAGGCAGAAGCCAAAACCTGACTTTCACAGTTGCTCTTTAACCATCACAGGATTAAAGATGTAGCATCTACTTTAAAATTTTCAGAACTGAATTGAAACTGATATTGCAAGAAATAAATCTACTTAATAAAAATAAAAGTATTCTACAGGCAAGAACTGTAAAAATATACCTACAATGAAAACTAGGTTCTTCCCTAGAAAGTGAGGAGGAGGATAGCATACTGAATTAAAAAATAAAAAAAGGAAGAAAGGAAGGAGCATAAAAGGACGAAATATCTGCACACAGACTCTAGACTGGCAGCCCGGGAACTTGTATGGGACAGAACTAGGCTCTCTGAATGCGGGTGACAGTTATGTGGCTTGGTCTGTTGGGGTAGGGGCCTGGCAGTGGGACCAGGACCTAGGCCGGGTGTATGAACTGGCTTTCTGGAGCACATTCCCTATGGTGGAATACCTTGTTCAGCTGCGATACAGCAGGAGGGGCTTGCTCCTGCCTCAACTTTGTATGCCATACTTTGTTGACTTCCCAAGGAATACCTTACCCCCTCTGAGGAGTGGATAGGGGTGTGTGAAGGGGGAGGTGGTGGAAACAAGGGAAGGGGAGGAAGGGAGTTGGTATGTAAAATAAAAAAGGACAAAATATCATTTTTTGATAATCTGTTAGGGAAAAAGATTAGAGTAGTTATGTATAAATCATAAGACTAACTTTCTTATTTATCAACAAAAATGTTAAAAAAAAGCTGGGCGGTGGTGGCACACCTTTATTCCCAGCACTCCAGAGGTAGAGGCAGGGGGATCTCTGAGTTCAAGACCAGCCTGGTCTACAGAGTGAGTTCCAAGATAGCAAGGGATACTCAGGGAAACCCTGTCTAGAAAAACAAACAAACAAAGCTAAAACAATTATTTGGGATTTCTTTGGTTGTAGGGGGGAAAAAAAAATCAAACCTGAGCAAACCTAGATCTTTTTTTTTTTTTTTTTGGTTTTGTTTTGTTTCTTGTTGTTTTGTTTTTGGGTTTTTCAAGACAGGGTTTGTCTGTAACTTTGGAGCCTGTCCTGGAACTTGCTCTGTAGACCAGGCTGGCTTAGAACTCACAGAGATCCACCTGTCTCTGTTTCTCAAGTGCTGAGATTAAAGGCATGTGCCACCACCCCTGGGCTGCAAACCGAGATCTTAAAGAGGGATTCAGAATTAGGGACAATGCATTAGATAGTCTCTTCCCAGCCCCAATCTCTCTCTGGCATGGGAAATTAAAACCACATAAAATTCCAGGATGACTAGAATTACGAAAAAGAAGAGAAATGATATCAAATGGTAGTTGGAATGTTAGGAAATCAGAGTCTAAGTCATAGCCCAACAGGACTGACAGCATTTGCCTATACTAAATCTATATAGATATAGAGTTTTTTTTTTTTTTACTGTAGCATTTTTCATAATGGTCAAACTGAGGGGAAACCATCAGTAGGTAAGTGGATAAACAAAACGAGAATGTGTGTGTGTGTGTATACACATACATACACTATATGGAATTTTCTTCAGCAATAAAAAGGAATGGGCCTTGAAATACTATGTCACACAAAGCTCACTTATTCCACTTCTACACACACAAAAGCACAAGTAACCCAGAGCTAAAGGACAGAGAATTCTGCTAATGTGAAGAAAGTAAATTCATAGAGGCAGATGGCAGGGTAGTAGTTACCAGAGCCAGGGGCAAGGAGGAAATTGGGAACTATATTTTTTGATGAGTACACAGTTTCTATTCGGATGGATGAAAGAATTCTGGGAATGAATAATGGTGATGGTTTGAGGAATGCTGTGACTACAGTAAACATTACTGAGTTGTATACTTAAAAACTGACCATTGTGGTCAGTATGTCCACGGGTGCATGTATATCTAGTGAGTCATCAACAGCTCTCTAATTGGAGAGAAATGAACCCAGTCAACTGCCCATGGCTGCTGAGGGCATGGAGCCTAGAGGAGAGCCTACTTCTGCCCTTTCCATTGCACTGTAAACATCCTCACAGCCACAGTGAAGCGTCTCTCACCAACAAAGCTTCTCTTTGCAGTAGACGAAGACCACAGAAATCTACAAATAGTCAACATCCAAGAACTGGCTATGGAGTCCCCAATTCCAGGGACGCATCTGTTAATCAGCTTCTACCTCCTAGGCTCAGGGAGCATCACGGAAGGAGAGGAGAGAGTCTCAGAGCTGGAGGGCCATGATGTCTGTTGTGAGTCTGTCTTCTAACCATGTA